GTCCGCCAAGAAAGAGGCAGGGTCCGCGTCGTTTCGGGATCATGTGGTATCCTGTGTCAGGGCATTGGCCTTCGAGTTTTCTGCCTGCAAATATATGTGATGTACGATCTTGGCAAAGCATTCCAGCATGGAACAGAAGATCAGCATGACGCTGTTTGAGCGTTGGTCCTGCACCCTGTTTTTGCTCACAACACGCGGCGAACAAAGAGCACCCTTCAACACCTAAACCCCATGTAAAAAAACAAACGCGCATCTAAACTCCAAACCCTGCAAACCCTTGTCAAGCCGTATAAGTCCAAAGCCCAGATTCTGCAAAGGCCCACACTGCCACATCCTAAACCCTACCGAGCCCACGAAGCAGGGAATTCCCCAAAGCATCGCGAGGTGCTCCGAAGGGCTTTCGAGTTGAAGCAGAGCCCAAGACTGTATACATGTTGAGGTGCCTTTGAAACCGCAAAACCTTGGGGTCTGTCGGATTGAAATTGGGGTCTGAAGGGGGCTTCAGGTTTTAGAACCCTGGCTTTGGACTGCATCAAGCTACTTTGGGCTGATGCTGCAGGAAATGGCGGTTTCCGAAATTAGGGGTACCTGATTGGGGGTCCGGGCAGACGTGGGAGTGAAGTCGGAAGCCCCAACAAGTCGCAGGGCCTTGAGGGTCGCGAGGCCTCGAACGCGAGGCTTCGTGCTTCGAGGTCCTTAAACCCTAAACCCTAAACGCGAAACCCTAAGCTGTCAAGGAATATCCTGGTCTCCGATACTGGGGCTGAGCTGGACTCGCTGCAGGCACCGATGATCAAAAGACAGTACTTGCCCAACACCTAATACCAGAACAGGGTTCAGGGGGTTCGGGGGTTCAGGGGGTTCAGGGGGTTCAGGGGGTTCAGGGTTTAGGGTTAGGGTTTAGGGTTTAGGGTTCAGGGTTTAGGGTTTAGAATCTTGGAGTCGGAAGAACTACGACTAGTATTCCCTTTATGCTCCCTTTGTAAATTATGCTGAAATAACCCCCCCCCCCCCCCAATTTTCTCACGACCGTGCAAAGTCCTACAGAATTGTGCCGTCTTAGCTTAATGTACAAAAGGCTTGCGAGCTTGACGTTTTAAGCTGGCGTTGAGCGGATTCGACACATGGAGGTCCAGACCTTTAAAACCCTGAAAATATCCCTCAAGGGGATGGTGGCGAAGCTGAAAGCTGCTGGCTACGTGGTGCTCTTGCTGGGAATCTATGCCGATCCCCAGGCTGGTTAGCTGCTTCTTTGGTGCAAAAGGGGGGGGGGGGGGGGGGGGGGGGGCAGGGGGTTCGAAAATAGGGGTACCCTTTTTGGGTTCCTTTAACAGGAGTACATAGTATGTTGAGGTATATAAGGGGTACCCCGATTTTCGGAAATCCCCAAATGTTGCAGCAAGTGACATTGTGTTTCGCTGAGTTGGAGGGTGGTTCGAGGTGCCAACATGCACCCAGAGAAAAGCCCCAAACCGCAAAGCCTTAACACTGCACCCAGACCCTAAAACACTAAGTTTGGGATGTTCCCCCTTAATTATACTAACAGTCCTTAGTAGGGATGATAATAAGGGGGGTACGATCATCCCTATTAAGGACCGTTATAGTAGCCGGGGGAACATCCCAACCCTAAACCCTTGACGGCCCTTCTGTCGGCAGCATGTGAATTCTCTGCAAAGCGTCGCTGTTCTCTCGGGTTTAGGGTTTAGGGCTTAGGGTTTAGGGTTTAGGGTTTAGGGTTTAGGGTTTAGGGTTTAGGGTAATTCTAACTGGCCCTGAGCCTCAATGTGCAACCTAAACCCTATAAACCCTACAACCCCCCAAAACAACTGTAAATCCTATAAACCCCATAAACCCTAAAAACCCCATAAACCCCAAACCACTAGCCTTGTAATTCCTAACCCCTGAACCCTGAACCTTAAACCCTAAACCCTAAACCCTAAACCCCAAACCCCAAACCCCAAACCCCAAACCCTAAACCCTAAACCCTAAACCCTATGCCTGTACGCTAAACCCTAAACCCTAAGCCCTAAACCCTAAATCCTAAACCCTAAACCCTTAACCCTAAACCTTACAGGTCATCCTGGACCGCGGCATCGCACGGGAGATCACGGACGGAAAGCGCTACAACAGGAGCCCTTCACATCTGTGGGTTTCCGAAAATAGGGTTTAGGGTTTAGGATTTAGGGTTTAGGGTTTAGGGTTTAGGGTTCAGGGCGTCTCGCCGCGCAGCGGAAGTAGATGTGGGGGGGCTGCATGTCACGCGAAGGCATTTGTTTTCAATGCAGTCCAACAATTTTCATTGGTGTTGGTCCCTTTCTCCCACCCGCTGTGAGCTTTCACAGGCCACCACCCAAACCACTGCCTTTTAGGGTTTAGGGTTTAGGGTTCAGGGGCTCCCTTTAAGGGGATTCTATTCTATTTGGAGTCAAAACGGGGTACCCCGATTTTGGGAGATGCCCATGTGTGGGGGCAAGTTCTCTAAGCTACGGTCCCTGTTTTTTGGGTTCAGGTTTGGGGTTTGGGGTTTGGGGGTTTGGGGCTTGGACACCCCGGACATAAGGCCCATAGTGTCACAGGAACAAAGGGACCATATTGGAGCGAACCGCCCGCGCACAGTTCTAGCAATTGACGTCAACTCTCATTGTAGGTATCCCGTCTGTGGGTTTAGGGTTTAGGGTTTAGGGTTTAGGGTTTAGGGTTTAGGGTTTAGGGTGGGTCCGTTGTAGGGGGATTCTGGGGCGTGCAGAGGGGCCCGTGACTTCCCAAGAAGCGCCCTAAACCCTAAGCCCGTCTAAACCCCGAACCCCAAACCCCAAACCCTAAACCCTAAACCTTAAACCCTAAACCTTAAACCCTAAACCTGAAACCCTAAACCTTAAACCCTAAACCCCATAAACCCTAAACCCTCTTCCCAAGGAGCGTTCAGAAGCTGCGCGCCACCTTCGACAACTTCGGGGCGGCCATTTCTCTGGTGGATGGCGCTTTCAAGAGCCTTTGAACGCAGCTTCCATAGAAGTTCAGGGTTTAGGGTTTGGGGTTTAGGGTTTAGGGTTTACGATTTGGGGTGTATATGCCAGTTCAGGGCGCCCGTAACCCTGAAATCTGAACCCCTCAACCGTATTTGGGGGGGGACCCCCTACAGTAAACCCTAAACCCTAAATCCCTAAAGCCTAAACCCAAACCCCCCACCAGGACGTCCCCAAGATCCTAGCTAGGATAAGGGCGACCCCTAAAAAGGGAGCCCTTCTTAACCTTCTTCTGGCTCTCTTAAACAGGGACTCCTTTGGAGAGAGTCGAACCCTAAACCCTAAACCCTAAACCCTAAACCCTAAGCCCTAAACCCTAAACCCTAAACCCTAAACCCTAATCCGATCCCCTATAAGAGTTTCGAAGACCTTGCGAGGATCGTCCACAACCCCCAGGGCGGCGAGCCCTCCGTGACCTTCGAGGGCCAAGGTCCTGGGTTTTGGGTTTAGGCTCAGCCTGCATTTGAATACAACCCCAACATAACCCTAAGTATCGCTCTTCCCTAGGCCTATACAGGCCCAATGCAACCTACTGCGTAATCCCTTACATATGGGGGGTGTACCCTTTTTGGGAGATTATAGCATGTTGGGGTATATTCGGGGTACCCCTAAACTCTAAACCCCAAACCCTATTCTGGGAAATACCCATGTGGAAATGTATTTCTCCTAGGGCCCCAGATCCACCCCGAGTCCGAGAGGTTCCGATGGCGGCGCGCTGCCGCCGGAACTGGCAGAGGGCCTCAAGGCCAAGCCAGAATCAGAGCAAAGCAGGGTTTAGGGTTTAGGGTTTAGGGTTTATAGGGTTTAGGGTTTAGGGTTTAGGGTTTAGGGTTTAGGGTTTAGGGTTTAGGGTTTAGGGTTTAGGGTTTAGGGTTTAGGGTTTAGGGTTTAGACCCCAAGCCCTAAGCCCTAAAACCGGACTCGTACCCCAAAGCTTGTACCTTCTCCTTAATATACTGCTAATATGGCCCTTATATTCCGTCAGGGTTCCTGAAAAAGGGACCCCAAAACCCGAGGGTACAACCTTAAGGGTCCAAGGCAGAACCCCTAGAGTTTAGGGTTTAGGGTTTAGGGACACATATGGGGGTTTCCGAGAAGAGGGGTACCCTGTTTGGGGGTCCCTGTAAGAGGATTCTATTCTATTTTGGGTATAAAAGGGGCACCACGATTTTGGGAAACGCCCACATGAATTGTGCTATATCCAGCAGAATGTGAACTTTAGTTGAGTTCCTTATCAGCTGGAGTAGAGTAGCATCTAGGCAGAGGCGAGGCTTGTGTTTTTTGGGAGAGTGTGGATGTGGATGATGCTCTTGGATGCTTGCAGACTTGCAGACATCAGCTGGTATTCGCATCCACTCGATATCCTGAAGCAATCGGGTTGGGGTTAGGGTATCGGCATCGTTGTACGCGCCCCTAAACCCTAAACCCTAAACCCTAAACCCTAAACCCTAAACCCTAAACCCTAAACCCTTCTTCCCTTGCAGGCCTTGGCGCGATCGCTTTGAGCTCCTTCGCCAAGCAAAAGCGTGCCCAGCAGGGTGGGGTTCCTCAAGGTGGTTGTTCTTGGCTAGAGCCTCCTTAGGAGTTGTCTTTTTCTGTTTGTATTTACAACCAAGGAAGTTTTTTTTCTCACAGTATGTTTCAGGTGCTTCTAGGGGTATGGCTAGGCGCTAGCCTCAGTACTCTGGGCTTGAGTTTGCCCCCGGCCCCACATCACGAAAGGAGGACCATACTGTGAAGCCCTGAACTCAGAATATGGAAGTCCTCACCGACGTGGGGGTTTCCGAAATTAGGGGGATATTGGGGTCCTTATCATAAGCGAATCCTATTCTTTGGGGGTCTATATTGGGGGTCTCTTGTTCTCGTAACCCCCATGGGTCGGAACAGCCAGCAGAACCCTGCACGTCTTCTGAGTTTCGGTGTGTAAACCCTAGACCCTAAACCCTGAACCCTGAACCCTGAACTCTTGCGCAGGCGATGTCTACATCTTCGTTGAGGGTGGCGAGGACGTTGCGCGGATTGCGCGAAAGGCCCGGCATGCCCTGCATGTCATGGCCCCATTCCAATACAGCTTGGTTTAGGGTTTAGGGCTTAGGGCTTGGATCTCAGGACTAATCTACTATTTGCTTAAGAACTCCCAAAAAGAATCATCCCTTATAAGGAATGTTTTTTTTTTTTTTTTGGGGGGGGGGGGGTTCTTAGCAATTAGTAATTAGTAATTAGTAATTAGTAGGAATTGGGCTTGCAACAAGAGGCCTTCAACCCGAACCACCGAACCGCCGACTTGCAAGATTTTAGGGTTCAGGGGTGGTTCTTGGCTAAAGCCTCCTTAGGACTTTGTTCTGTTTGCATGACACTTGACGCTTGTACGTAGGCGCTGGCTGGCTCATGATTTGAATAGTGGTGATAGCGTTAGCTGGCGCAGGGGCTGTGGATCCTTACTGGAACGGCATCTTCTTGTCACTGTTGCAACTTCTCTTCAGGTAAGGAGCCCAAAGCAAGAGCAGCTGCAAGAGAATCGCGCAACACAATGAGCCATGATTTGCAAACTGACATGCTGGCTGTTGGCTCTCCACGAACTCCTGTCTCCAATGTCACCTCCGACGTCTCCTTCCTGCTCCGGAAACTAAAGCCCCAAACCCGACTGCAGAGCTCAGCCCATTCAGCCCCAATGCGAGCGATGTGATGCTTGGAGGTTTTCCTGTGGTCCCCTGTGGTCCCTCTCCATTGCGAATAGCCTCCTAAAACTTAAGGAGACATCAAAAGTGTCGGTTTTCAGTCCGGTTCTAAGGGGAGTCTATAGACGGTTTAGGGTTTAGGGTTTAGGGTTCCGTCCCAACCCCTTAGCCCCTTGATGCGCCCCCAGGCTGCCGAACGAGGAGCAGACCTTGCCGCTTGACCAGAGCAGATGTAGAATCAAAAGAACAGAGATTGTCCCAGAGGGTCCATCTGTAGTACTACTATGGAATTAGGTACCTAAAAACCATACTAAAATGTAGAATCAAAAGAGCAGAGGTTGTCTTACTTCGAATATCCCCACCCTCTCTTGGATGTAGAATCAAGAGAACAGAGGTTGTGTTACTTCGAATATCCCCACCCTCTCTTGGTAGAGATACTCTGGGGTTGGGAGACTTCTGATGGATTCAGTCCTTGCGGGGCGGGGTGGGAAGGGACGGGGGAGGGAGGAAGGGGAGCAGTGGGCGGATGGGGTAGCCTAGATTCCCTACGTAAGCGCCCGAAAGGCTGACAACCCTGATCACTGAATGCCCTAGACCCTAAACCCGTAAACCGTAAACCCGAAACCCGTCACCCTAAATGCCCTCAATGCCCTAAACCGCCCGCCCCCCCCCCCCCCCCCCCCCCCGCCCTCCTAAAATCGTAGCGCCCAGGTGCCGATCAAGAGAAGCGGCCGGGAACCCAGCTCAAGGCTCTTGCGCTCGCAGAACCTACAGCCCGCCTTTCCGGGGCGGGCGTCATACAGCATGCAACTTCACGGGTTTAGGGTTTAGGGTTTAGGGTTTATGGTCTAATGATGAGATGTTCCTGTTGCTACAACTAACTCTGCTCGAGCTCGGAGACGAAGGGAGCTCGGACATGAAGACGGCAATAGGGCTTGTTTCTGTACACATATACATACATATGAGCAACCGCTTTTATTTACGCACGAGCAGAGTTACTTTGGATGTGCCCTATTTTTTGGTTGGGGTGTCGCTCTCTCTCGGTAACGAGATCGGGGCCGAACATCAAACGAGATCATGTTGTAGAATGAAGAAATTTATACTTGTACTTGTTTACTTGCATAATTATACTGCATACATAATCCTTATCTGTACCTATTATATTTATATATATATATATATATGTATAACTAAGCCTTTGTTTAGTCATATATGCATAGCCACCATGTGTATAGTTGTGTGAAGGCGTTCGCTAAACGATGAAGAGTTGGTTTCGCGTAGGCTATTGCTGGCAAAAGCTGCTCGCTGGGAACGGCGGCTGTGCTTTGAACCGCTTAGACTCAGAAGCCTTTGAGGCTCAACCGCTTCGGCCCAGGTTGGGGATTGCCTGGAGATTGCTGCCGATCCCAAACGAGATCCAAACGTGATCCAAACGTGATCAAAAAATTGCACGAAGGCAGCCAGGGAAGCCAGAGGGCCATGGGAGGCACAATCACAAGGACTCGGGTTTAGGAGTTATTGAGACAGGGCTGGAAGGTTTAGGGCCAGTTTTGGAGTCAAGTGTCTCCTGTTTGGTTGCTTTCCACGGAGGCAACAAGAGTACTATGGCACGTCTTCGCAACAACTTGGGCCCTGCTCCCTAAACCCTAACCGTAAACGGGTGAAAATGGCAGAGTTGCTCAGAGAAGCACTATGGGTTACCGGGCGAAGGTTAAGGGCAACTATACCACTCACTACACTCCAAGTACTATGTAATACTGAACGAGATCACCCCTTAAGACGACATTGGCCCGGAAGAGGTGTTTTAAGGCAAACGAGATCAGGGACCGAACATTAAAATAGGCTCATTGCGCCCGCCAGCAAAAAAAACGACGCTCATATATATATATATATATATATACACATGCATTTGGTATACATATATGTGTATATACATATATATATATACACATTCTGCATACATATGATGTGTATATACTACACATGATATGTATACATATATGTGTATGTTTATACGTGCAGATACGCATGCATGCATTCACTGCTCCGCTCCGCGTTGTCCTCCACCTATGCTGCCATCCATCAGCCTACTTGGTCGGAGCCATGATTCTGGATCTGCACGGGTTCCTTCATGTGGGGGGGTCTACGCAAAGAAGGGACCCTAATATAGACCTCAAATAGTAGGATTTCCTTTCTAACAAGGACCCGAATAAGGTACACCTAAGTTCGGAAACCCCCGGTTTAGGGTTTAGGGTTTAGGGTTTAGGGTTTAGGGTTTAGGGTTTAGGGTTTAGGGGTACAGCCGAAATAGCGTGCTTGCTGTTGCCTTGGCACCGAAGCGGACCTTCCTCGTATGCACATATACTCCTTCACGTCTCCATTTTCCGAAGGTTTAGGGTTTAGGGTTTAGGGTTTAGGGTTTAGGGTTTAGGGTTTAGGGTTTAGGGTGAATTCTGTTACTGACAATTCCTGACATGTACCTGTCCTGCCTCGAACTGCCACCTGCCTCATTCATCGCTACGAAGGCGGTGCCAGTGCCGGGCTCTACGATTTCCCTGCAGAGGTCCGCGAGCGAAGCCGGCAAAACTATTCTACACCAGCCTTTCTTCCCACGCCATAAACCTCCTTAGCCAAGATTGTAGGCATGCCACTGGACACTGTCAAACCTTCTTCGGCCCCCATCCCCCCCCCACTACCCCCTACCCCCTACCCCCAGCGTTGAGCCTTGTGAGTTCTTGACGTGTTCACAGCAGGCCCTACAGCGACCACCATTTGTGGGTGAGGCAGGCTTGGGCTGGCATGGGATTGTATCTCATACACCATGTACTGCACAATCCCTCTACTTGGTAGCCCAGTGGTACCCTTGTTCCCTTTGTTGGCTAGTTTAATATTATATATTCCCTTGTAAAAGTGCCAACCCCAAGAAAGGGGTGCCCTTATTATAGTATGGCTACCGCCAAGTTGTATCTCATACACCATGTATACTCTACTAATCCCTAGATGGTACAAATGGACCATAAAGCGTTCTGGGCTTCATCTTCGTTGTGCAAGCCCTAAACCCAGAACCCTAAGCCCTCAACCAGGGATGCGGTAAGCAAGGCCTTCCTGTGGGTTTTTTTCTGACCTCAGGCCCATACGATGGCGGCCCCCTCCCTAAACCCCCTAAACCCGAAAATCCTTCAGTGCAAAGCCATCCCACTGCACTGCCTTTTGCAAGAAGACATCTCGAAATACCAATAATAAGTATCAAGATGAGTAAAGGCAATGCTAGTAATTAGCAAGTAATAATAGTAAGTCAGACATAGTAGTAAAACCAATAGTCAGTAGTACTCACATTAACCGCTACCTAAGCCCTAAACCCTAAACCCTAAACCCTAAACCCTAAACCCTAAACCCTAAACCCTAAACCCTAAACCCTAAACCCTAAACCCTAAACCCTAAACCCGAATCAACCTCCGCCCTTCTTTCGGTGTTCAGGCCTGCTGGGCTTTGCTCTCGGATACTTCAGCGCGGGCCCTGGGTGTGAACGCCACTTCGGGGGGGTCGGCCCCCGGCACGTAGTATAGGGTTTAGGGTTTAGGGTTTAGGGTTTAGGGCCAGAATTATTAGAATAGTTTTTTTTGGGGGGGGCTACTATAGTATGTCTATATAGGGGCCATAAGGGAATACCAATAGCAATGATTCCGAGCCCTAAAATCACGAAAGCAAGTCCGGCTCCCAGGCTGCGCTTCTTTTTCGGAAGTCTGAAGGAACCCTAAACCCTAAACCTTAAGGCGTACATGGCGAGAATCTGGAAGACCGCCTCAGGATCCGAGTCGGCACAACTTGACCCCTCAAGAAAGTCTGCCAAAGTTCAAGCACCCCCCCCCATTTTACAGACAGAAGCTTGAGTCATGAATCCCTTGAGAAGCAATCCGACCCCAAAGAAACCAACCTTCAAACGTCACCAGGCCCCAATCGCCGCTGCCTCTGCTGCGGCCTCTGCTGCCGTCGCCGGCGCATTGGTGCTTCGGCCGAAAACGAAGAAAAGGGGGGTGGGGGGGGCGTGGGCGTGTTCTCGAGTACGGGAACAATTTACTAACACCCAACCCCCAAACCCGCATTCTAGTTCTTGAGGCACGTTGCCCTCTCCAACGAAGCCCAGCATTTTGGAGGGGGCGGCGGGGGAGGGAGGGGGGGGAGGGAGGGGAGGGGGAGTGGAGGTCGGCTTCAGGGAGCCACTGCGAACGTGTAGATAGAGAAGCGTGACAGGGTTTAGGGTCCAGGGTCTAGCGGGGGGGAGTGCTGACTTGCAACTTGTATGGTGGAGGTATTTACTGCTCAGTAGGCAAGAAGCATTTGCTGTCACATTCGACTGCTTTTCACTTAAGTGCAACCCTCGCGGGCGGCCGTCGTGCCTCATGCAAGTGTTACAAGTGTCATGTCGGTCTCTGACGCTTTTCCTCGAACAGGGCCTGCGGGGTTAGGGTTTACAGTATCACCTCGCACGACCTTGCAATTCTCAGGCAAAGCGCTGCCGGGAGAAGCAGCCTGGCGAGGTGAGACTCTGCTCGTAGTGGTTTTTTTGCTGCTTCACCAGCGTTGGTCATCTGCAAATCTGCAAAATGGCAGGTCTGGAAATGTCAGTGCTTGAAACGAAGATGCGCATCAACCCACGTGTTTATAGTGATCACCATCTCAATGTGTCAGATCAACCTCTCCCTAAACCCCTCATGGCTCTTCCATGCGCCTTGCTGTGCTTAGACCCCACCCTGCGCCCAGTCCTGGACCCCGAAGTGCAGGCAATGTGAGCAATTTCGATGCAATGCCCCGTCCTGAACCCTAGCCCATCCTCAGCCCTAGTGTGCCTGCGCCCCGGCGCCTATGAAACAGGCCAGCCCCAGCCATCTGAGTCGGACGTCCCCAGGGCCCATGGGCAAGGCACCTTGAGAAGCAGGAGGAAGGTTTTTTTGCAGTGAACTTTGGAAAATTTGGTTTGAAGGCCTCTCAGCGGTTTCACTGTGTGTTTCTGTTGCTTCTTCACCTTGTCGTGTACTGCCTGCCTGTACTGCCAGCTACCCCCCAGGTCGCAAACCTGTGCGATACCACGTGCGGAACTCGGCGCAACTTGCGGATGTAATTCGCATTCCACGCGCTATGTCGAATCTAAACGACTTCAGAGTTTCGAACTCTCTGGTCCTATCACTGGCGATGTCTGGACAATGCCAGGGCAGCCCACAAGCTAGGTCACTAGGACCCTCAATCCTTAAACCCTTAATTTGTAGGTGACTACTAATTGCTTGAGAACCGCGCCAAAACAAAGAACATTCTTGCCTGCAAGGGCAATATAGGGATTGTTTTTAAACAAATTGTTGGGGCTCTTAAGCAAATAGTAGGTAAGCATTTACTTCAAACCATCAAAGAAAGGACCCCGAGCTGGGCGGCAGCCAACTGGGCCGGCGTCCGTGGAGGAGTGTGGTCACGTGTGCCGTGAGCGTGGGGTGCCGTGAAGTTTAATCAGTCTGTAGCTTAGGGTTTAGGGTTTAGGGTTTAGGGTTTAGGGTTTAGGGGAAATTGAATGCATAGACAGGGTGGTCTCTTAGCTTCAGGCAGCTCGACCACATTCCAGCGAATCCATCCTTCAGACCAGACATCATGTGTGATTCTCGCGAGCTTCATGATATGTCTTGAATCCCTAAACCCGAAACCCTAAACCCTAAACCCTAGACCCTAAGCATACGTCTTGAGACCGAAAGCAGGAGGCACGCCTGTGGGCGATGCGGAGAAGTCGGAGAAGAAAACCTTCCCGACGAACCCGGCCTCCATCCAAGATCATGTCGGGGTTTAGGGTTTAGGGTTTAGGGTTTAGGGTTTAGGGTCGACCCTAGTATAGTCCCGCAACATCATAGGATCACTTACAATAAGGACCCCCAATCAGGCACCTTAATGTAGGAAGCCCCTATGCGCTTGAGCTACCAACTCAAGATGACTCAAGCAACGAGTCATGCCTATGGAATCCTGAAGCAGAGACATGAAGCCCGGATACAGCACCCAAAAAAAGAATTTCCCAAAATAGTGCTGTTTAGGGTTTAGGGTTGGGGACAGTTTGGATCAACGAGGGCATCCTGCACTTTGGTTTAGGGTTTAGGGTTTGGGGCTCAGGGCTTAGGGTTGAAGTACGAGCCCCTCTGCCTCCTGCGAAACCACAAGGCGCCTCACTTCTTCGCGCCCGCTGTGTGGACCGCCCCAGGCCGATGGGTCGCGACATGCACCCTAAACCCTAAACCCTAAACCCTAAACCCTAAACCCTAAACCCTAAACCCTAAACCCTAAACCCTAAACGGCGGGGGTGGGGGGGGGGGGGGCTTTGAAATTCGAGGCCCTTTTGAACCTATTGAACACCATATACTACGTAACTGTACTAGGTATTGCACATTTTTGGCAGAACATATACTATAGGACTTTAAGAGTAATTTCTTATGTTTTGTACATGTATACACATCGGTATGATTGTCTTACATACTATACAATACAACTCGAGTAAAGGGTACATGACGACAAAAGAGTGAACAGAGACCCCAGGTAACAACTGGGCCTCCCGAAGCTCTACTACAGAATGGGGAGTTTTGGGCTTCGAGCCTAGGGCTTGGGGCTTAGGGCTTGGGGCTTAGGGTTTAGGGTTCAGGGTTTAGGGTTTCGGGTTTAGGGTTTAGGGCTACGTGGGCCCTCGGGACATTTTACATGTTCCCTTGTTTGGGTTTAAGGGGATCTTATTAAAAGAATGCTTCTGCAGAGGGTTTTAAAGGCCATCTTAGAGGAATGTTGAGGGTTTAGGGTTTATAGGGTATAGGGTGTATAGGGTTCAGGGTTTAGGGTTTAGGGTATTGTGGGCTTATAGGGTTTACTTGCAGGGTTTAGTGTTGTGAGCCCTTCTGTTTTGGCAGCTAACCTCCAGACATTTTGGCGAGGCCGTAACACAAAGCTCCGACTACAATACGCACTTGACTGTCACTTGCATCTATACATATATATATATGTATATACACACGTGAGTATACTTGCAATACTCTCGGGTGAAGCTCAGCAGAAGGCGTCTTAAGCCGGAAGCCGATAGCCATGGCTGCCATGCTCTCACTGGCTGCGCAGTGGGCCAAGGATTTGAGCAGCTGGGCTGACAGGGTTTAGGGTTTAGGGTTTAGGGCTTAAAGGGTTTAAAGGGCTTAACAGGGTTTAAAGGGTTTTAAAGGGTTTTAAGGGTTTTAGGGGTTTAGGGTCGCAGCTGGGTTGATCGAAGTTTTCTTACGAGTTGGGATGTGCCCCTTTTTCCTAACAGCCCTTAGTAGGGATTACAAGAGGGGTACCAGAATCCCAATTAAGGGCTGTTCCTTAGTAGGGATTGCCGTAGGGTACGATGATGCCTACTAAGGGCCCCTAAACCCTAAACCCTAAACCCTTTGTCCTACGGAGTTGTGGCATGGTGGCAGGGATGGACTTCTTCAGGCATCCTTTTGAACGTTGGCTTGTCTAGGAAACCCTAAACCCTAAACCCTAAACCCTAAAAACCCTAAACACCCCACTGTTTAGGGTTTAGGCTTTAGGCTTTGGGCTTTAGGCTTTAGGCTTTAGGGTTTAGGGTTTAGGGTTTAGGGTTTAGGGTTTAGGGTTTAGGGCGTCGGGTCTCCACCAAAGGGCAGCACCCTTCCAACTGCCAGATTAAGGTGAACAGAACGGTGTAGAGACTGGAAACCTTCGACTGCCCCCCTCAGCCATGTAAATGACATAGGACATGGGTTTAGGGATGAATGGGGTTTAGGGTTTGGGGTGTGGGGTTTAGGGTTTAGGGTTTAGGGATTAGGGTTTAGGGATGAATGGGGTTTAGGGTTTGGGGTTTAGGGTTTAGGGTTTAGGGATGAATGTATGGCAATGTCGCCCCTGGCATGTTTGGAGCCTTCCAGTCCGTTAAAGACGTACGGTTTGCGAGCCTCTCATGCGAAAAGGATGTGTGTTTCCCCCCCCAAGAAGGGCTACCCCTTATCTGCCCGCAAAATACGATAGTCCCTGAATCTCGGAACCCCGAAATAGGTACCCTAATGCGGGGTAAAACCCACCTAAACCCTAAACCCTAAACCCTAAACCCTAAACCCTAAACCCTAAACCCTAAACCCTAAACCCTAAACCCTAAACCTCTGCGATATGAAGCGACCCAGGCGAGCTCCTCTCGAAACTCACTTGGCCACAGCTGTGCGCACTGGCATCCGCTGGGCTGGTGGGACAAGTTCTCTGGTCCCACTATCGGATTCTCCTGCACAGGCGAGTATCTGGGGTTAGGGTTTAGGGTTTAGAGTTTAGGGTTTAGGGGGGCTGCCCAAAATGCTAGAGTTCTATGTTGCAAGGGCCAGGCCAAGCCAATGTGCAAAGCCAAAGTTGACGCCGACCCGGGAATTTGTGCCTCTGTTCCACTGCCAGCATTGTCCACAAAGATTTAGCAATTACCTCCCCTAAACCCTAAACCCTGGCCATGGGATGCATTGAAAACAGTATTTCCATCATGTGTCGGCAGTGGAAGTATGACATTGCCAAGATTCATCACCTAAACCCTAAACCCTAAACCCTAAACCCTAAACCCCAAACCCCAAACCCTAAACCTTTGAATCAGGCGGCTCCCGCCCCATGATCTGGGACTGCCCTTGGTGGGACACACCTTCACCATCCTCAAGCTGGGCTTGGAAAGAGCATTGTCTTTTTGGGGGGATTGGGAGGGATTGGGTTTAGGGTTTGGGGTTTGGGGTTTAGGGTTTAGGGTTTAGGGGGGCCCGGGCTTTTTAATTTGCAAAGGTGTGGCTCGGGTCGGCTCGGCTATGATTTCAGTCCCTGCCAGACCGCGCCAAAGCGCAAGAATCGCTTCCAAACTCATCGGGTGGGGGCTGAGCCCCCCACAACCCCCCCGCCCCCCCGCTCTTTTAGGATGTGCAGGCGTGGGTCAAAGCATATGATTAGCCTAGCTTACAAGCCCATCGTGTGTGTGAGCATTGTGTTTGCAATTTTGCAAACGGGCGCAGGCACATATGGGTGTACAGGCGCCTGCAGGCGTGCTTGCTGTTGGCTGCTAGGTGGCAGTGGCCTCTGGCCTGTCATGTTGCGTGCCACCTCTAATATGACAATGACAAGCAGGCTTTCCTGTCTTCACTCGTAAACATTCGTACGCCGCGACGTACGACAATGGCTACGACCAAAAGCCAAACATCGATTCACCAAAGTCTTGCATCTGAGCGTGCTGCAAGATGTTAGGGTTTAGGGTTTAGGGTTTAGGGTTTAGGGTTTAGAGTCTAGGGTTTAGGGTTTAGGGTTTAGGGCGCTGCTCCACGCTCCTAACTCATCCAGGCTCTCCCGCCAGCGAACGAAAGCCTCAACCAGCAACGGGCGCGTAATTTTGTCCCCAAAAAAAGTAGGGCGTGGCCTCAAAAAGCTTCCCCAAAAAAGTCTATAGTCCTTATACCATACGAATTATGGAAATTGTTATGAAGATGGAGGAGTCATTCCGCGCAGGCTCGCGTCAAAGCATATATAAATCCCTTCCAAACCCATGGTGCGAACATTGTGTTTGCAAATGGGGTTGGGGGGGTAGGGGGGTGGGGGGGGGGGGGGCACCCACCCAACCTTCTTTAGGCCGTGCAACAGCTTGCGTCAAAGGATATGATTCCCTTCCAAGTCCATCGTACGAGCATTGTGTTTGCCAATGCGGGTACTGTTTCAAAGCACATGAATCCCTTCCAAACCCTTTGTGCGAGCATTGTCCGCAAATGGGGGTCGGGGAGCTGCGCGTCATGCGAGCATTGTGCTTGCAAAGGAGGAGGGGAGGGGGGGGGGGGTTTGCCTGCCCCTCAACCCTCCGCATCTTTAGGCCGCATCAAAGCATAGCTACTTCAAAGAATATGGATCCCTTCCAAAAGCATTGTGTTTGCAAATGGGGGGGCTGCGCGCCCCCCCCCCCCCCCCCCCCCCGACCCCCGCTTTTTTAGGCCGAGAAGGTGTTCCTAGCACATGATTCCGTTCCAAACCCATCGTGCGAGCATTGTGTTTGCAAATGGGGGGGCTGTCTCAATGATCTCAAAGCCTATGAGTTCCATTCCTTCCAAACCCATCATGTGAGCTTCGTTCTTTTTTTTTTTTTTTTGGGGGGGGGGGGGGGGGGGGCGGGGGGCCGGGCAAAAGGGGCGGCTCCGGACACCCCCGCTTAGGTGCACACACATCCCTACGGGCTCCTTTTTTGTCACCTTTTATCAAGCTGATGGTTTTACCTAGGTGTCAGCGAGTTTTTGATGTGCGACGGAACCAAGAACCGAAACCGAGCCACACCTTTGCCAGTGAACACGGCCAGAAATACACCCCTCCGCCGGTTTAGGGTGTAGGGTTCGATTCGCATTCCCGAAAGTTTAAAGTTCGAAATTGGGACCCAAGTTCCTTGCGCGAGAATATGTGACCCGAGGGACCTAAGCTGCTTTCGGCGAGTGTCACGCGTCCAAGTCTTTACTTGAAGGTTAATTCTTGCGATATCTCAAAGACTCATTAAGTGCTTCGGAGCTCTTACTGAAAGTTGGTGGCCATTCTGGATCGCAAGTGCGATGCATTGCAAACGTGTCCGTCCGGCTGGCTGTCTGTTTCTCTGTTCCATATTATGTCGCGTAATGTAAATCAGGTACTGTAATGTAATGTATGTCCGTCTTCTCTGTTCTGTATGTGCGTAGGTATGTATGGCAACAGAGTTATCTTGCGCTGCAGCGTCCGTTTCCGTACGGCTTAAGAACAGCATGAAAGTGCGCCTAGGGGTGGAGTGCAATGCTTTGAAATTTGCGAAAGGCACGATCTAGAGGTTGAATGTCAGGTTTTGGCACCGGAGAGGGCTGGACGCCCTAGAACTTGAGAAACAACAAAGACGCCCGCCCCTCCTCCGCCGTGTAGGTCAGACAGTCGCCCTGCTAACCCGAAGAACCCCCAAAGCATCCTGCCCCCGGCAAGGATGGGGCCAGGGTATCATGGAGGTGGGCTCCCCCACACCCTTACAACCCCAAAGCCCTGCACATCCGTGGGTTACCTTGCGATCCTTTCTATTTGCACTTATTGGGTTGGAGAGGATCTCAGGTGGGAAGATTTTGTTGGAGGGTGTAGAGGGGGGGGGGGGCCCGAATCCAGCAGAATACCCGTAAACAGAGCCAGAAATCCCTGAAAGCTTCGCCCTAAACACACGAGAAC